CCAAACTCTCAAGTGACATTAATGCAGGCGATACAAATATTTCTCCCGGACTGGGAGTCGACTTCGGGACTTCTGCGTTTCAGCCTAGGTTCGGCCACGGAGGCAGTTCGTTAATTTCAACTGTAAACATTCAATGTGTTGCATGTTGGTGACACTACAACCACAACTCTTTTGGAATTTTAACGTCTTATTGTACTCCAGAGTAAAACTTTTAGTAATGACACTTCACATTTTGTTAGAAGTTTCCTAATTCTTTCACTAGCCATAAAGGCACAACCAGAATACAAATATTAGTCGTCGTCGCTACTAAACGCACATTTGTTCTGTGAAATTAGCCACAATCGCTTGTAAAAGGCTAATAAGTGGGCAATAAAAAAGGAGAGGCCGAAAGAAATATACGCGCCGCGTCGGTCGGTGATTTATGCGCGATAGGAATGCGCTCTCGCGCCGCCCCTTTTTCAATAAGCCCCTGATAAGAATCATTGCCTACCGCGTGATGGCGGACGAGGTATGCAATTAAATCTATTTTTTATCCATTCATCTTCTATTTCTATAGAAAATCATTGCAATATTACAAAGAAATGTGTGGAAAAATCTGCGAGTATTTATCATAGGACATATCTGTGTCACGTTTGGTGTCAAACGTTTTTAAAATTAGACAGCAATCTAAGACAGTTCACAACACTTGCAAAAGGCGTGGAGCCCCGAACAGTTACCTATGGCGCACGATAAGCGGCGTAACCCAGCGCAGAGTTTTAGGGGGCGCCGGGAGTCGCTTGAGGCGGCTCAAAGAGCCGGCGTTGTTCACGGCGCAAGTAAAAAAGTTATTGCTTGCCATCATCATTTATAATTGCACTATTTGCATCCGATTTCCGATTACTGAGGATAATATAACTAACTATTCCATTCTCATCGCATACCTACTAGAGGGCGCCAGGGTATTGATTGCACCCAGGCGCTACATGTGCTAGCGCCGGCTCTGGTCCTAAATACGCACTGGGACTGCATATTACGATTAGGTATTAGAGGACACCTGTGTCCTGACAGTGGAATGTATGTATAACTATAAAAATTTGGGTACAACAAACATATCAATTTCTCCACAAAAAAATGTGTCCACGTAAATTTTAAAGTTTAATATAAGATCATTGATATAAGCAATGGTCATGCGCATGGAACAGCCCAACTAGATTTCTTTTTTAGTAAAATTTGATATTCTTATCGTGAATACGACAAAATGACGTAAATAAGACAAATGCCTACGGTCGTTTAACGTAGACGTTGATCCAGTAAGTTTACAAGTATAATATCATTGCGTTGATCTCCATTTTTCGTTCGTATCTCTTTAATATATCCCGTACTTATATCTATATGTATAAGATCATTGATCCCGTACATTTCCAACACAATTTAAAGAAGTTTTAATGTCAAAAACTAAAGTCATTCTTATCCGTTGACCTACCAACAAACGCACTAGGGATCTAATACAAAAACTACGAAAGCTGTGATTAGAGATATAAACTAAAAATATTTCAATTTTAATTGTAATGTAATTATGTAGGTACTTGCGCCTCTGCGGTACGGCGCGCCTCACTTGTGTGAAATTCGAATAAAATAACTTGAAACGATATAATATCGTTCATTTAATTTTTACTTTTAATTTAAACGGAGTATATTTAATATAATATTAACTTAATTTCATATAAGTTTCGTGTGATATAATATTCACATGTTATAAGAACATTTTATATAAAGCTCTTATCATATAACAATCATTTCAATTGTCAATTCAGATAATTTTTACGTAGTATAATATCACTTTTTATAAATAATAAGGTTAAACCCGACTTGCCGTGGTACTTATCTGTTCGATACTAGGGTGTAATTTAAAAGTCGGACTGCGAAGGGAGGCAGTCCGTGTCTGCTGTAACGAATCTTCAAATTACTCATTTTCATTAGATATTTGATTTTTTTAAAGTATAAGGTGTATAGGTCAAATTTATGTGCGCCCCTCCTTTAGTATAAGTTACATTAGAACATGAAAACGCAGCGCGAGCCGAGCGAACGTGTCGCGGCAGCGGCCGGAGAGTGCCAGCAGAGAATTTGGTTTCAGCGTTTCCGAGTATATTTTCAGGTCGAATTATAGTATAATGATTATAATATATATATTAGGTATATCGTTTTTCCAAATTGAAATAAAAGATTTTTGTACAAATACTTACAATCAACATTTATTTAGCTTTATATATATACCATAATCATATACTATATTAAGAATTACTTTTTAAATTAAGATTGGAGTCGTTAGATGAAATGAAATTTAGTTGAATTGGTGTTAAGTTCACTAAATTGCTCTTAAATATAGAAGAAATGATTGTTATCAAAAATTAAGTTATAGAATGTGAGTTTATATTAAACATTCGTTACAGGTATGAAGTGAATTGTAATATTAAATAAATTTATGCCTATTAAGCGTTATGTTAATAATATTTATATGATACATTACACACCCTTTGTATATTTAATGAACGTAGAATTTTGTACAAATTGATTGAGTTGCAAGAAATAATAATAAATGCCAACAGCATCTACGAGGAAGTCACATTATCGATAATATCACATTATTAATAGTGATATTATAAATTATATATGTGATAATATCACATTATTAATAGTGATATTATAAATGTGAAAAAAACTATGGTCAGTTCAGACCTTTCACAATAAAACAGTTGAAAATACCTTGACGAAATTTGGAAAGGAGGCAGTTGGTAGTGAATCAATAGTAATTACATTTCGAGATTATCGTTAAGCGACAAAGAAATGAACAGAACCGAAAACCACAAATAAGAAATTAAAAAATATTAGCTGCAGTAGTACTCGGTGATCTTTCCGGTGAATTTAGCGCAAATGTAATTTTCAGACTTCAGACTGGTTATCTCATTGCATAAAAAGAATACAGCAACATTTGATTAATTTGTCGTCCTCCTAACATTAATTAAAAAATCACATTAAAAATAAGATAAACATTAAAGCGACTCTATAGAGCCTTTGTTTGAAATCTTCCAATCTGTTGTAATGTAATTGATGTAATCGGTTCCGTTTGCCTCTTGCGCGTATCAGAAAACTTTTGAATAGTTTTAGTTGCTTTTGTAATGTCTATTTACAATTAATTCAAATATAAAATTAAATAATATGCTACTGAACAAAACAACACTTTCTAGTGATAACTGACAGCACAATTGACTATTTGCTGAAAATAAGAAACACCATCTTGTTTCTTAACAATATAGTAGGTATGTATATGGCATTAAGATTGACGCGTGTATGCTCCTCTTTTTGCGACTTGTTATCCAAACAAAACTGGTTGGAAAAATTACACTTAAACTTATGATTATACTGAGAAGATTCTTAGCTTAAAATTTTTGTTAAGAACAAAAACATCAATGCTAGGTTTTATCTATTATTTTACTTTTACGTACGCAACAGGTTTCATGTGCTTTAAAGTTTTTCTTTTATAGCATATTTTTTTTTCTTATAATGTGTTACTTTTCTTTTTATGTTAAAATTCATTCTTTTATTACATTTATTCAGTATTTTGTTTCTTTTTTTTTCAACTAGTTTGTTTATTGCTTTCTTTTCATTTATAATTTTAATTAAAAAAACTGTAACCGCTGAGATACAGACACACTACCTAATTTAGGGGTGGAAGTATCATCACCACCTTAGACACTATGCCATGTTTCATGTACAATAATTAATCATTTATTCAATTATTCAATTATATCATAATTGGACGCGATGTACGCGCATAAGCGGCGAGTGATGCAGAGGCAGTAGTCATTGTTTCTATTCACTCGTGTCGCACCGGCGTCTAACCCAGAAGCAGTAAATTGTACCTCTTGATAGAATTAATTTTAAATTTGGTGTTAGTACAAGCTTTTATTTGAATTACGCAAAAAATTAAAAAAGCAAGTTTGGTTCACTTTCAATTTCACCCACAAAACTAACATTGGGGTGACATTCGGTACGCCGTGAAATTTTATTGATTTCTAAATTAAGTATAAAAAAGTCTTACGTTCATAATATTTTCTTACGTGAAATCTCTATTAAAACTTGTTTCCTTTTTTATCGAGTGCATTCACTGACCTATTCAAAATATTATCGACAAGAATTTCAACGCCCAATACCTACTGTTGTCTCCTTTAGTTTGTTTGAAATTGCAGAATGTAACGAAGTGCATGGTTGTGTCGTTCCATTGACAAAATAATGTGCGAAAATAGAATTTACGTCAAACATTTTTCCATATCCTGAGAAAATGTAACCTCTATGTTGCCTTAGCTGTCATGATGTCACACGACTTCGCGCGTGATATCTAATTTCTACTATCTCCGATGCATGTCGAACGTTAAGAGTCAACCGTGAGATACTGCGAATACCAAACACTGTTTGCCATTGAAATTCGCCAGCTATTATAAATCTTTTTCTACATTTTCGCTCTTGGAATAAACTTCATTCGATGTTTCGTTTCGCTTACGTTATTGGGCTACGTTTTATTTTCATCATCTTCATCATATCACCCGGAAGACGTCCACTGCTAAACATAGGCCTCCCCCAAAGATTTCCAGACGAGCGAATCGGACGCGACGTGCATCCACCAGTTACCCGCCGCCCTTACCAGGTCATCCGTCCATTGAACGCCTTCCGGTTCGTGGTCTACATTAGAGAACCTTTCTGCCCTAACGGCCGTCAGTTCTAAAAGCTATGTGCCCTGCCCACTGCCAGCTGCCATTTTACGTCGTCGTAAATAATATACTCGTAAACGAAGCACGTAACAGACGGTCACCAAAATTTAGTAATAAGTGTTCAGGTATCTGCATTTTTATTCGAATCGTTATAAAGTACAAACACTTCTAACATCACCTAATGATATGTCACAAACCCTTTTAGTCATATATTATTTTAATTCGCAGTGGCAATGCAATAAAATGAATTATTACCATTTACATTTGAAAAGAGTCCATATTGATCGTGCTCCGGATCGAATGCAATTAACTGTGAATAATAACCAGTAAATTACAAAATTAAACATACCCTAAAATTATAGGCAAGATAAAAACTAATTTTAGTTTGCCATTATTTAATAGCAATCGTCATCATGTATGAGTATATTAAATACTTATGCTTTATCTAAAACAAAACTTCATAAATTCGGTTCTATGTATAGTTTTATGTTATTGTAATTAGTAATTACAAAATAAATTCCTAAAAAACTGATCTCAGCATTATTAATATATATATTTCTTAAATTATGTGTTAAAGATAACCGACGATTTTGGTTTTATTTAATAGAGCCCCAAGTATTCATAAATTCATCACGTCTTATTAGGTCCGATTTAAGTTGTTTTGATTTGTGAATTTCAAATATATTGTGTTCGAAATTCACAGCAACTGATCTATATGCTTAGAAGTGACCCACCTCTGAATCTTGGTTATGATCAGAATAAAAGTGATAATCTAAAGAAGTGATAATTACCTCATATCAAAAGTTACATTGAAATATATTAAAAAAAAAATAAAAATATGCATAGAAGTTGTTAATTACATATTTTTTTTATAACTAAAGTACGTATTAAAATAACTGTACCTTAGTTTAATTTCCTGGTACGTTTTTGGCCCAACCGTGTTACTTCTAACGTTTTTATCACCGTCCTCACATTTTTGTGAATAATTTAAATTAATTTCACAGGTAATACTAACACATTGTATAACGTTTATCAGTAAGCTCATAAAGAATATTTTGTACATTTCACCAATCTAATGTTACGTTATTCATCAAAGTTCAACAATCGGTTTAAAAACCTTATGTAATAAGGTTACTACACAACTTTTTCCTACCTACATACAGTCAAAAGACAAATATTAACACAAAAAATATAATCCCATATAACCGACGCTACTTGTAAGTATGTATATAAACGTATATTTTTTTTATATTTATGTAATTTCACACAATGTTAAGTAACTTTATTACTTTTAAAAAATTTAATAAACGGAATGCACATTGTTCAAAAACAAAAAATGTCTCAAATTAACATTCGTTGATAATCATTTACTTAATAGATTATTAAATCCTATGTGGAGCAAAATCCCTTAAAGTGAGAAATTACTTACCGATAGAACACGGCTAATTTTCAGAGTGGTTCACTCGTGTCAGACACGCGCGACGAATGCGTCGCGAAAGGCTTTGCGACGGCAACTGACGGCACTTTGGTGGCGTACTGAGGCGCACTGGGCGGGTGCGCTCACGACACGCCCCGCTTTTCCACCGCCTACAGAAAAACTCGGTCTACGAAACCCATTTTTAAACTCTAATCAAAGATTTTCTTACTTATTTTGTTTATTTGTGATCTTTACACATTTTCCGTATTTCTCTTTTCTACCACTCTATGGCTAGTAGCTTTTTGCTATGTGTTTTTAAATTGGAAAACTAATCCTAGTACTTTATAAAATCGAATTAGTTTATACCATATATTTTCAAATTTGTGACTTCCAGCTTTTACCACTCACTTCTACTACTTATCAAAGTTGAATATACATGTGTATGAATGATTGGCTTTAATTTTGGAACATAAATCCATTTACGAACTATTAACTTTTCATCGAAAAACAACCTTAAAAATATTATAACAGCGGATAGCTTACGTTTATCAGGACAGAGCCACCCATTTCAGATTGACACCCATCACACCGACCGACAGGATTGACTTTTCATTGTATCTATCTTTTACAATAGAGATAAATATGAAAAAATATGTGTTGCATATGTACAACAGGATGTACCTATGTCTGACTCGGACGGACGTGAGACGTTACAAATACAAGCGTTGTAATAAATAAATATATTTATAATTCGATTGTTTCTTCGGCAAGTTTATTATTGTATGATTTTTAGTTCTAATTTTCCCAATTAAAAGTCCTCGCCGCTCTATTAATATGGTTTAAAGTAAACCACAAACCAGTATGAAATTCCCTAAAATATCATACGATTTAAATTAGTTTATTGTAATAAACAATGTGATATATAGAATAAGCCAATTTATCACATAACAACAAATATATAGACATATTCGAAAAGTTTCAACAAAGATTTAGAATTTTTTGTTGAAAATTCCATTAATTTATTATTGTTACCTATTACTGTTAAAATAAAAATATGGTTTTACATTACTTTCTAAGTACACATGTTTAATAGTATTTTTGCTTGAGGCCATTATTTTAAAACTACGCAAGTGTAGCGTCTCAAGGTGTAATATAATAATATTGTTAATTTAGGATAGCAACCACTTCACCTAAGCGGAGCAATAAAAATGAGAAATTATTTTTAATAACATTGTAAGGGTGCGGGGAGGTCGAGCGGGTGCGGTGACACCACAATATTTGGCCGCCCTTATTATTGGGCATTCTTTACCCAAGCAATAAGGAGTAACCCCGCTACTCACTTTATGACCTCCTAGCTTTATGTTATAATAAACTATCATGCTACAACTGTGCATAACGAAAAATTTTACTTTGTAATGAAACATATTTTTTTTTGCATTATGGTTTCTTAATAAAAAGCATACTTCACATAATTTTCGTACAAGGGTATTAAGAAATTATATTGTTATTGTATACAAGTTTGATTATTGTAATAGATGTTTCTTTAGAGTATCAAATACTAAAATATTTGTATTGGTACCATCTTTCACCCAATCGACTTACAGCGAAGAGAACATTTAAAATTATGTTCTTCTGTCTGTTGAAACTTCCATGATAGATGAGTATGTCAGAGCATGAAGTAATTTCAGGACAACAGACATATTTCCGTCGGGGAGGACAAAAACGGACTCCCTGTGACGAGGCTTGGAATGTGCTGCGATTATGAAACGCCATTTGTCAAGTTTTTATTGGGCACCCTAAAGTAGCATCTATTGTTCGCCCCCGCCCGCGCTGGCGTCGCTTCCCTGTCGGACCCTCGTTTCACTGACGTTAATTCATAATTTTTATAACTTGTTAACATTTCGCGGATTACAGTGGCGGCTCGGTTGTGGTCGCAGACTGCTGTTTAATTAAATTAGTTCCTCCACTCTTGTCCCTTTTAGGAGCAGGACTACAGTAAATGCTTTAGCAAAGTTAAGCTTTGCTGTCATTATAATAATGCAACCAAAAAACTTGAAACCTTATCTAACGATCACCGCTTATGATCAGAAGAGATAATAAATGGGAAAATGCTCTATGCATCCACCTATATGGAAGGATAGAATAAGCATAGGCATTAAGTCGAAAAAAGGCAAAACAAACTACTTAGGTACTTAGCAATTGTTAAAAAATAAAAAGACAAAGCAGTGATTATCTACGCGGGGATTTGAATTTTCAACAACATGAAACACGTCACGTCAACACAACTTTTTGTTGTAGATAGTAGCTATAGTAATCAAATCAGAAATGCTTGTTAAAACCCGGCAAACTTTCATACTGCGACTTCAAATTAGACTATGGTAGAAGCGCTGCAATAGCGTGGCGTCTGTATCGCTTTTAATTCATTAATTGTGAACACATCAAATTGAAAACACATTCTTATTTCCTTTCAAGGTTTTTAATTAAAAATTCAGTATCAAATGTATGATATTGATGTTTGGTTGGGGTATTATTCAATATTTGAGCACATAATATCTGTACCGTCGGTGCATCCATATTTCGCGCTTGGCTAATCAAAGAGCACGCAGCGGGAAGCCAGACCTAATATCCAACATGATTTGATGGTACAATCAGGCACTTCACACACACAGCGTCATTAATTATTATTATATTAAATGACATGTTACAGATTAGGTCGAATTGTACTAACAACAAATAATAGGTACCTACTCTATGGATCATCGCCGTTTCCATAATGGTATCACTTTTGTATACCGCTCATACCTATATATTCTCACATTGAAGATATAAAATGGTATATTTTAAAATTAAGACAATATAATTAATAATGACGTTTCACTGCACCAATTTCGAATATCAAAGGTGCACATAGAGGTGCAGATAAAAGCTTCGAATAGGTACATTTGACGTAACAGATTTATGTATTAATTTTAAATTATATTTAATTATAAGTGGGTAACAGGTCACAGAGACGTCAAGTTGATATAAACAGACGCACTGGTTGTCCCTTCCATAGTAACATGAAATTAGGAAGGGTATTGCACTAGGAACAATGAGATGAACATCGTAAGTTTACAACAGTGAAATTATTTTGGTTACCATTACACGTACCTACCAAGTAACCAGAAATAGAGACGAAATGTCATTTAATTTGTTTGAAAACTATTCTGCCATGTCATTACTGTGATAACTGCGCTCCGATTGGCTAGCGCGAATTAGAAATAATTGACGGGTGTCGTCAATTGTTTCAATTCAAATCGACCAGTTAACTTGAGCTTTGCTATAATAGACGAATATTGCAAAATTACATATTTAATATTTCATTACCGATGAAACTTGATTCTATTTGTTCTGTAATTAGATGTTTTGCTGTTTTTCCCCACAGCAGCGAATGGAGCAGCACGCCATTGTTAAAGTTATTATCTTTATTACAATAAATACAAAATATTTTTGGAGTATACGGAGACGTAAACAAGGGTCAGTTGTTGGCGGCTGTCTATATTTCAGTGCAAACGAGAGTTGATATTTATAAGCGATGTATCACTGATGAGTTACCAGGAATGTATGGCCCTTACTTCGTCTTTATTTCTGGTTATATAGGTACTCGATGCATCCTACATATCTTAAAAAAATTGAGAACTTTAATGAATATTTATTTATATATTTATTGTGAATGTGCTCCACTAGTTTGTTATTATATCTGATACAAAATAGCATCAAAGTGTGCACCCCTCATGAAAGAATGGCATAAGTGGAATTACGTCAAACATGTTTATTGCTCCATTAGATACAGAAAAATATAATCCATATCCTCTCCAATTGTAGAGGATGTGGGTCTTATTTTTCGCTATCTAATGGAGCAATAAACATGTTTGACCTAATTCCACTTATGCCATTCTTCCATGAGGTGTGAAGATCGAACAAACTCAAAGAAAAATTCCTTCGATATTGCTGGACTCGAACCATATTTTTTGCACGACATTTTAGCCTAACGCGAGCTATCGCTCTCTTAACCGAGTTACGGAACGAGTCAGCTAACAATATTAATAATAATAACGTACACACTCACAGCCCCGTACTTGCGAAACCCTGCATCGCGGGTGCCATGGACACACACAAAGACAACAAATTACAACCAAATTTACGAGAGAAATAAAAGTAGGCCATACAAATATTTCCCCCGGCCCAAGAATCGAACCCGGAACCGCTGCGTGGCATTCCGGGATGGTAACCGTTCGGCCACAGAGGTAGTTAAAGCTGACCCTACGAATTGAGAAATAAAAGAAAATTACGAACCTGTGAGAAAACAGGTAGCACTATGGCAAAACAGCCAAAATCCAGCCGGATCTAAGGAATTTTTCTTTAAATTTGTTCTATCTTTGTATCAATTGTAACAATTTTCCCTTTATATCATTACAATAATTGGGAGACGATTGATTGTCTTGCACGTCCACGTCTATCCGAGAACCTTCGATTTTTGAAAATTCAACAAACACTAAACAAATTTGAAGATTTACTACATAAAGTATTTGTTCTAGGATATAATCATCAAGTTTTCTAACAAATTATTTGATAAGCGTAGTCTAAGTGTTAATATGCGTTATCTTCCTTTTTTTGGGTTGACTGACATCCTCGGAGGAAGACGAGTCTACGAGTATTTCTTTGAGAATGACGTCAGCAATGCAGCTGATGAAAGAAGGCGGTGCACTCGTCAAGTTGGCCAGCCGTGGCGCAGGGTCTGCTTCGCTGAATGCCATGTAACGAGCGCTCGCCACCACTGCGCCCACCACTAAGTGTAGTGATTGCATCGGTCGTCCTGTTGTTTATCACTTCAGTATTAATACAGATTATACTAGTAGCAGTAGAGCTCCTGGTAGGTACTGCCTCTTTACCTATTTCTGGCGCCAAGCTGTAAAGTGACATTACTCCGTTCCGGTTTTATATGGTAAACGTGGTGGTGACATTACACGCACATGGGACTTGTCAACTTATATCTCAAGGTGACAGGCAGCTGAAGCTCTGAGTGGCACTGCTACGGACAGGCGTGTAGCTTACCACTAGGCACATGACTTGCTTGTCCCGTCACTTGGTATTATATAAAAAAAACTTCGCGTAAAAAAACTGTTGAGAACAAATATTTGAGTGAACGCGTAGCGTAGCGTTTACTTCCCACCGACGTGGGTGTCGATGACACTAATTACAGTATTAGGATTACAAATGAAACTAATTTTTCGGAAATAGATTACGCGTATTTGTTCTTTCAAATGAACCAACGTTCCGGGCCCTTTACAGGTCACATAGTCACGGCTGCTCATGGGACATTTTTGTCCCAAAAAATAAATATACGCGACTTACATCCGAAAAAATAGTTTCATTTCTTATATGTAACAATTGCGAAAATCTAAGAAAGCAATAAATAAGGTATAACCCAACTAGCACACAAGCTCTAATAACAAGCCGTACATTAGCCAGTTAGAAGTTCTTAATAACGGCATAGGCTGCATTAATAAGTTCTACAGTAGACGTATAAGCAGCTACAGCGCCACTGTACCTCCAAAATGGGCACCGATTTATTTGCTATAAGTCAATGGTCGTAAATGTGTGTTAGGTCAAAGATACAATGGAGAGAGAAAGAAGATGCGCGCGGTTAATGTGCGCGGTAAATGGGCGTCTAAGTAATACAAAATTGATATGCAACCGGTTAATGTGTGCCTAAGTAATAAAAAGGAGTAAGAAAAAGTATCTAAATAAGTTCTTATAGCGCGACTATAATGCTAGCATCCTATTTAGACGTGACTGTATCTACGAATTAGAGTTTACGGCGCTGTACTAGATATACAGCAACGGTATTTTGGGGAAATTAACAAAACACACTTTATAGCTCATAAAGATCGTGACCTTGCTAACTGGAAAGTGATGGAGGATACGATTGCAAATAAAAAACGACAACAGTTTGATAAAATAAATTTTCCGTTCAATACTTGCAAAATAAAAGTACGAGTACCAGTTTATTGTAAATACGTACATATATTTTAGCTAAAATTTTTACGCGCCTTCTATATGTGCAGTCTTTTGTGTGAACTTTGAATTTAGTTTAAATAAGACATTTTAGCTTTGTTGGAAGTTTTTTTAGTGTCATGGGTGAGAAAGAGTGGAGTGGATTGGGTTTTTGTACATATTTAAGATATTCAAAAATATATAAATAACCTAAAAAATTGGTTTTATTAAAAACTATAATGGCGTCTCTGTTACAACAGCCTTCAGAGTTTACTAACACCGTTCTACCGATTTAGCTGCTAGTATTCACCGTTGTAGAACTTTCGGTTGTACAATTGTGGTATTGACGCGCTATTGTGAATTATTAGAAGTAAAGTTGCTGTAGAATTCTCAAATAGAAAAACATAAGCGCTACTTTAGAAATATATTTCTCTGCTGTGGATATAGCGTTCCAAAGGCTGTAGTAAAATCTATTTAACAGTTCCAGACCCTCTACCTCAAGAATGAATGAATGAATGAATGAATGAATGAACCCTCTACCTCAAGGTGTTATAAACGCTTTAGAAATATACGATATACCACCTGAAGCGTTTTAAAGGAAGCTAATAACTCCATTCAAACATTTCTAACTTCAAAAGCCCTCTATAAGACCTTAAGGTATTATAAAAGCTTTAGAAATATACGATATACCACCAAAAGCCCTTTAAAGGGAGCTAATAACTCCATTCAAACATTTCTAACTTCAAAAGCCCTCCACAAGACCTCACGGTGTCATAAAAACTAATTAATAACTCTGCTTTACATCAATTGCCCATACAATAGCTCTCTGACTAGCCTTTTTATCTCTTTTAGGATTACATTTGCCGTTGTACGGCTATTGTACAACTTGCGTCTGTTTACTTGCTTTTGAATACGCTACTGAAGAACTTAAGTACTGTAGTACATATCTTAAACAGCTAATATACAACTTTTAGGTTGTACAGAGGTAACATAAGCAGCTTGCGTGCTTTTTGGGAATTCATGAGAAAGGTAACATTGACTCCCTGAACATTACACTGTGACTTTGAACCAATTCGCATCCTATTGTAATTTTCATTTTATTTTATTTTATTTTATTTTATTTTACTGAAGCAGTGTTTGCCCTGCAATACCTAAATTGTAATAAGTTCGTTGGTACCTAACCTTCACACGATCCAGGGGAGTCATTAGCAATACCGCGAACACATTGCTCGATTCTGTCGCGGGCAAACTCCGCAGAGTTCACTATGACAGCTACGCTTTCCAGCATGTTCCTGGGCATTCCGATTTCTAGCGCGAACATTTGGCCTTCTTCCACGCCCGTCCAGAGCGGCACACGAAATCCTTTACATAAATAATATTCGAGATACCATAATAGTACTGTAGAAAAAGTTACGTACCTGTGGCCCTCCTCTGGAAACACGAAATCTTACGGAACTACTTTCAAAGTCCGTGAAAATAGGCCCGTTCAAAAATGTCAAATCGCGTTGTCATATCTATATTCTTATTAGGTCTAGCCACGGAAGAAAATAAACAATGGAAGTGCCTAAAGCCTCAATTACTACCACAACCGCTCGCGCTGTCACCTAAACTCACATTCATAATTTTACAATGTATGAAATCTTGACAATGATCGGTCGTAGTATCTAATTTAAAAAGAAATAACAAATTATGTTACTTTAAATGTGTTAACTTACGTTTTGATATTTATATTGAAATTTCTTGAAAATCATTGAAAGTGCAGCCATCTAGCGGTCACCAGCTAAACGACGACAAACGATTGTCGACTACGTGTAGCGTGGAAACTCCGGGATTTTTACTTAATTCTCCAAAAAAGGAACGACCATATTGCAGCGGTATAAGGTTTTCGTTTCTTCCTCTTCTTGTAACATTAAAATTATTACGATAATAAAATAAGACTTAACGATGATATGAAACACCACCATGGATAATATTACAAGTGCGACTACAATTTTTGCCTCCAAAGTAGCAAAAAAAAACATTTGTCGACGAGTTTCGAAGTTTTGACACGATCATAAAGTACAAAGCGAAAATGTGGAACTCCACGTACTGTTGGAACACGTGTCATGTCCACTAAGCACTTCTACTGTCTACTGTATTTATTGTTATGTGGTCGAGCCCCAATCGAAACTCAAATCTGTAGGTCATCCATAGTGGGAAAACGGCCGTAACTACGGATTTCGTGCTTCGAGAGTAGGGTCACCGTACATGATAGACAGACGTCAGACAGTTAAGGCAACTACCTACGTTGTAGCTACAGAAAAACAATTTTCGAAAGAACATTCTCAACATTTGGCTTAAGCCAACTGCACTAATACTAAATTTTTTTTAAATCAGCTAGGAGAAGGACACATTTCTCGTTTATTAAATTATTATATTTTTTCTAGCAATTGGTTACTTAACACTAGTTTTGTTCTACCTATGTAGTGTGCAAAACAATTACATAGCATAAAAAATATGTGTAAGTACAGTCAAGAGCACGTCAAGCTTGACACTTTGAACTTTGGACCGTTCTTATCTCAAGCGGCATAAAGTTGGATTTAAATTTTTAGTGTCAAGCTTAACGTGCTCTTGACTCTATACGTACCGCAACTAGCACTCACCTAAAATTTTGAAAACGTGGAACGCATTTGCGTTTATTTCTTGTATGCTATATTCTAGCTTTAAAGTTCTGAGGCAAGCGCGCACATGGTTTGCGTTCACTTTGGTGCTTCCGCTACTCATCTTTGCAGATAGCTGAGCACACGACGCTGTCAGTAGTGGAATACGAGCGAATAATTCCCTTTTAAAATTTCCGCGCTCTTCGTCATCTGCTCAAAAATTGTAAGTACTTAAATTCGTAGGTAAAGTATTTGTAGGTTTCAATACCGTCGTATGATGTTCATTGTGGTTCAAGAGTGATTAAAAATTTAATTTTTCCTAAGTCATTGCACAAAAACCAATCATAAACCTGTAACTAAAATATGTTACGGAAAACATAAAATCCACAAACTGATCGAGAGTATATAGATTGCAACCAACAAAGGATCAATGAAAATTGTATGATATGATAATCAAATTTAACATTTATGTACATTCAGTTACATAACTTTTTTATTATCAAAAGGGTGAAAGTAATAGTAGTAACAGCATTTGAAGTCATATTTTTCCAAAATACAAGATTTTACTTAGTGTGGGATTCGGTAGTTTAATCATTTTGTATATTATTATATTATATCACGTCACGTCACGTCACGTCACGTCACGTCACATCACATCACATTATATTATATTATATACATATAAATATATAATAAGAAAAAATAACTATAAATGGTCAGAAATGAATTTATTGTTTCTCAAAATATTCTCCGTTAACTTTAATGCACTTTTCATGCACTGGTTTTTAATTTTTGGAAATAAATAAGTCACAAGGTGCCAGGTCGGGACTGTACGCGGGATGGCTCATAAGGTTAACGTTGTTCACCTTCAAAAATTTATTTGTCTGTCTGGCCGTGTGAGAACTGGCATTATCGTCGTGCACGATGATATGGCATTTACGGCTATTTTTACGGAGTTTGTCAATAACTTCCGGCAAACAAATAGTCGTGTACCAATCCCACACCCAAATGTTTATGTAGTATTGATTGTATTTGACTCAAGGCTATGCCTAAAGATGCACGAATCTCATGGTATGTCACATGCGTGTTTGTTTTGATCATACGACGCACAGTATCCATGTTTCTGTTGTTCACAGCAGTGGACGGGCGACCATCACGAAATTCGTCACTGAGATTCACCCGACCGCGTTTGAATTCTGCAAACCAGCTATAAATAGTCGTCTTGCATGGTGCTTCATCGTTAAAAGCAGTTTAAAGCCGAGGGAAGTTCCGCTGAGCTGTTAGATTACACTTAAAGTCGTAGAAAATCATACTACGAAAATGTTCACCAGTTAAATCCATGGTGATGTGTCTACATCAACCAATTTCTAAAATGACGCCACAATGTAAAAACAAGTGACAGTCAGATGAAACAAACTGTATTCTACAGCCAAAGAGTTCCATTTTCAAATGTTGTAATTACTTTTTCATTATTGTTTATGTAGTGGCCAGTTCCGGAAAGTTCTAGTGTGCCCTAGACGGGACGAACAAGTCATGCTCTTGATGGTAAGCACACGCCTGTCAATAACAGTCGCAGTGCCACTCAGAGCTTTAAATTTCAAAGATCTGAGGGGCTCTGCAACTGCGCCCGTCGCCCTGAGACATAAGTTGACAAGGCCCATGTGCCTGTAATTTCACCATTATGCATTGCATTGACTGACGGCACTAGGCGAACTTTTCGATGAGTGTTAATTTTTTTTATTATAAAAAATAAGTATGCGTTTAACCTCCATCTCACCTGATGGAAAGTGATGAGGTCGACGATGTAGCTAGCAGAAAAATTCAAGGAACTGGGCAAAAGTCAAGTGAAGGCATATTTGGGTTGCCAGGAGTGAATGGACTAATGTAAATGCTACGCCTTGATATACTGCCTAAGTGCCTACTAAGCAAGCTGTACTAACCATCAATGTGACTGCAGTAGATGGTAATGTATTTGTGAAGGTACCGCTCGAGCATCCGGCAGGTGCGGCCAGGCACGCCGTTCATGTCTACGCCGAGCAGTTTGCACATGTTCCAAACCGCGCTGCGGCTTTCTTTCTGCAGTAGTTTGATGCCTGACGGACCGAGCTCGTCACCTGCGAATTCAGTGAAATTAGCACGAAATATAGTACTTTATGACAAATAATGTAGATTAAAACAAAAAAATTTGGTACAGTAAAATTTAAATTTATAACTAATTATGATGAAAGTAATCGTTTATTTCACTTCAGTTTGGTTAACTTTCAAAAACTTACTTCGTTGATTTTGTTAGCGTTTATTTAGTCATAAGTAAACTACATAATAAGTAGGGAGTTTTCGTTTGATATGTGTATGAATAGTGATTCAGTATTCGGTATTCTGCCGAATGGCACAAAACAGGCCAGATAAGCAAAAGCGTTCTTATATATGAAGACAATTATTACTCATGCCACACTATAAAGGATATCAATCAGCCTATTGCAGTTCACTACTGGACATAAGCTTCCCAAAGCGTACGCCATAGTGCCTGATCACCCGTTTTCCGCATCCAACCACTACCCGCGACCTTCTTCAGATAGTCGGTCCTTCTTGCAGGGGGACGTCCTACGTTACGTTTGTCGAGACGTGGTCTCCACTCGAGAACCTGTCTACTCCATCGCTCATCGGTTCTGCGACAGACGTGGCCAGCCCACTGCCATTTCATCTTGCTACATTTCTGGACCGATGTCCACAACTTTAGTCTTATATATAACTTCGTTCCGGACTAAATAAAGGATAAAATGAAACAAAATTATGATTTCCAAATAAAATGAAAACTTGATAACAAATATTCTAGTTTTTTTGTTTTTTTTTTTATTTAATTCGTTTTTAAACGGCGTATCACATGGATACCACAAACAAATCTAACAAATCTTATTTTTAGCCGAGGTTTGCTATAAAATCCATAAAGAACAGTAAAATACCGATACATGCTTATTGCGAATAAACAGACGCAACATCCAGAACACCCTAGCCTGCATAGTTTTCAATTGTTTATGTACGAAGTAAACATCACATTTTGCACCACTATTTTATGAAAAAAAAAACTATCATTTATTTGCTTTAAATACGGTGGGTATATTATAAATATGTAGTAGCAGTAGACCTCATGAAAGTGTTTCTCCAGGAAAGCACTGCCACCTTACCTATTTCGACTGCCAAGCAGTAACGTGAGCGTACCGGTTTTGAAAAGTAAGTAAGGGTGCTGGCGCAATTACAGGCTCATCGGGCTGTTAACTTGTGTCTCAGGGCCCCCTCAGATCCTTGCGATTTAAAGCTCTGGGTGGCACTAAAACTGCTACGGGCACGCGTATCGCTTGCCACTAGGTGCACAACTTGTTCATTTCAGTTACTTAATATCATAATAAAAAAAGAAATGAAAATTTAATGCTACATAATCTAGAATAGGAGTGGGAGATAATTACGAAATTTGTGGCATAATTATTACAAATAGTCTAGTATAAATAAATCTACCTACATTTGCAGTTGACAGAAAAACAAGAAAATCATTAAGAAAAATTAAATATTTTAAACATTGAATTAATGTTAGAATGTGAATAAAACTTATTAAAATATTAAGATAATTAATATTCTATTACGCATAAAACGATCAATATTGGTTTTGAAGGTGTACCCACCCATTGTAAGATATACCTACCTATATTACACAACTGTAATAATTGACAATAAAATTAAGTTTTTTTTTTTTTTCATTTATTTTCCAAGTTAAAATGACATAATGAATAATGCAACACCCATACAGAAAATATTGAAAACTAATACTTATATATGATTAGATTGATTAGACAATGTTTTTGTGTTATTTTAAACTTACCAATCGGTGGGGCGCCGATCGAAAATCCATCAGACGCCGCACCGCGCCGAGGCCGCACCGTCGATGGTTTTGCGATCGGCGCACACCGTCAACACCGTCACTAACTCCATAATAATATACTCCCGTAAAATGAAAATATGCACCAATACAGAGTTATCTTCACATGTTATAATCACGGCATTACTATCGTTAAAATCACGATCTTAAAATGTGTACCTATTCCAATAACACTACTTTGTTTGAATTCTAGAAGTGCCATCACAAAGGTGCCAAGACAATTAAAGATAAGCCAGTAATCCGAACATTGGAACTGGTCTACATATTTGTGAAATGGCACGGCCTGAATTACACGTAACCACACTAACGAGAAAACTGCTTGAGCCAGTCCAAAAAATATGACACGAAACGCAGTATGTGTTTTTACTCTTAGTACATGGACATAAAGCTTTTTCATGACCGGCCTAATGCGACTCCGTGTCAATAAGTATGGTGGCTCCAGATGTTGTTTACTGAATAAGCTAACAGTCTGTATAAACGCCCGAGTAAATAAGAAAAGATCAAACCGAACACATATTACTTACGCTCTTGTTCATAGTCCTCCAGTACCCTTTCTATCCAATGATTTCTTAGATATGATAGCTCAGAAAATAAAGTATTATCCATTGTTCTTTATTCAGTGATTTATAAGAACGATGTTTTGCCTTTACACACCACAATGGTATAGCCAATCGGCGGTAAATTATTTATTTATACGAGTAATTCAATGTTAATTTATTATTAAAAAGCAAAGCAAACAAAAACACAGTTCACATTAGAATGCACCGAATCTTTGCGAATCAACAACTTCGTGACCTCCACATACTGGTCTCCAGTAAATATTGATAGTGACATATTTAAAAGGGTTCTCATACATTTTTCTTCAGGAATTTTTTATCCCAAAAATGTTTACGAATTACCCTCTGGTATTAAAAGCGGTTGCTTTCTTTCAACATAACATTTTGAAGGTTTTTGTCAAAACGTAAACCATAGACAAAATTTGCCAGTGTATCATAAAAATTGTATAACTATAGTTATTAATTCCTCTAATGATCTCCTTGTAGCAACACGGGATATTATTTAACAAAACTTTTTGCCATTTTTTGAGGAGCGATCGGAATTGGGGGAGTTACATAACCTAAAATTCGAGTAATAACGTAAAGAATAATTTGGACATTCCCTTCTACAAATCCCGGATTTTTTTTGGAATTGATTATAATTTGAATATGTGTATTATTGTTATATTTGGCGGGAGGGTACTAGCCTTGTATAGTTCATGAACTACGAACTATTAGGAAAATATTAACTACACTGACCGACATGAACTAGTTCATCTTGCACGGTTTTAATAGTTCATTGTTATTTTTAGTTCATTACGAACTAGGAACTGTCTGCGTTGATAGCTCACCTGTCTTTTATACAGTAGGAACGATGCGAGCGGGACAAATAGCGATCTTTCACTACTTTTAGTACAAGTTCGAGTGGATATATATACAAGCTTGCAAAAGAGTAATATTTTTTGGTAGGTATCTGTATGTTTAATATCAACCTACGTGTACGAATATATGAAATAGTTGTACCTAAATATTGATTTTTAAACACACCATTCTAACTAAAATTCTTATTTTGTAAAAAAAGGATATTTAGTTAGAATGACAGTCTTTTTAAACCTGTAAAATAAGAAGGAAAATCTAATAGATCCGATTCCACACAAATTGTATTTTTAAATATTTAGTGCAGTGTAGTATTGACCTCATAATACTAGAAGTCCGTAGTAGTTCATGTGAATAAAATTACTAGTTTGGAGCGTTCGTTCAATGTCCGAGCAAAGACAAGACGAACTAACTAACTTAGAAACTAGATGAACTAAATGAACTAGGAGACAGACCTAGTTCAGTTGACCGATTTAACTCACTAGGATCGCTCCCGCTAAGTAACGATCAGGCACAAGTCTAGAGGATACTACTACAAGCAAACAGGTGCACCCAAATGCAATATCGAGTTGTGTCACTGTGGTCTCACACAAACAAATTCGACAACACTAGCTTATTTTTACAACCGCACATTCATATTATCTCCGAACACAGAATACGCCTCTAAAAATAATCGATTTTAAAGGATTTGTTAGAGATGGGACATTATCGACTTTCAGAGTCAATGATTATATACGTAATAAAATATTGTATTGTCATTTCGTAACGAGTGTAAATGCTTCATCTAAACAATATGGCTATAAATTAAATTTTAAATATATTAAATTCATTTAAAGTGGCTTTGGGCGATTTCTATGGTCGAATGTGTTAAAAGAAATTATTTATTAGGACGGGGTGTATTCATACAAACAAAAAGTACTATGACAGCTCGGCTCCAAACCCTAAGCGCCCAGTTACACGAGGCGAAAGTTTCGCGCGGTCGCCGCGTGGCGGCCGCTCAGTTACCACGCCTTCATGTGCATTAATAGCGAATCTGAATTCTACTTATTAGGCTACAACATTTAAAATCTCCTGATAATAGAACAGCGCGGTCGCCGAGTGGAGTCCGCGTTGCTGCCGCTGCGTAGATCAAATTCAATCCAGTATCGCCCGTGTGTCCGGGACCGGCGGCGTAAGTTAGAACGTAAAAAAGCTAAATATGACAGACACACGTTGGCAACACGGCCTCCGCTCGGCAACGGCGCCTGAGTGGCGGCCGCGCGGAGTGACCGCTATGAAATTCGAGTCGAATAAATGTGCCCTAAATGTTGAAGATGTAATTGTTCAAAGTTATGAATAAAAACATAAAAGAAACATGGAAGTAACTTTATTTCAACTTTTACTAATCTATGATTTTGAAATATATTTTTTGGAAAAGTTGGAGATGGAGTAAAATGACAGTTCATTGCGCAAAAGTGTTGCCCGCGCAAGCAGCTAGTGAATTCAGTCGATGAATATTATACTATCGACTGAATGTTACTTACGCTTATGAAATAAATAGCCGTACTTGTTTCAGAATCATCATCGGCTTATTTTTCGTGTAACTGCTGGACACAGGTTCATTTGAATTGTTAATTTTTGAAAATGAATGTATGTAACATTCAAAATACAAACAGAAGACATATTTTAAAGTTTTCCATTAGAATTCAATATACATAATCAAATCCGGCTGTCGTTATTATAATGTGTATGACTAACAATTGATTTCGATACCAAAAGAACAAAGTATATAATAATGGATTTTGTAATAATTAGAACGTCGCAACATTCACAATTCAGACATTTTTGGCAAAATTTTATCTACTTTCACAAGTTTCACAATCTATCGATGAAACTGTCGACAACAACTACATAATTATTTAAAATATCACGAAAACTGTAACACTAAATATCATCCATCTTCGAAAAAGACAAATTACGGAGACGTTGTGATGTAAAATCGAATAAAAAAACGATTTAAATATCTTGTCGAGATAATTTGTAACGAAGAGGGAATCATTAAGAACGAATATAGTAAACAAAACGAAAAGGAAAGAAAGAAAACAACACGGCAAATAAAAACTTAACAACAACCAAAGCAAAAAGGCGACAACACACCATAAAATGAACAGCAATGAAACACACCGCAAAAAAACATCACTCAAAGCTCAAAACAAAATAAAACTAGAATGAATAGTACTGTGACAATCACAGTACCCATCATAATATGTGAAATGGATAGTGAAGTACGTAGATTTGTAAGTGATTTTTATTGATATGAAACATAAGATCATTTTATGAAACCCAATAACGTATCACTTTCAAGTACCTACATATAATGATAAAGGTATGCGTTCATGAAATCGATAATGTCTACGACGAAAATATGAATCTCATAACTTGCGCCTTTTGGCAGGTGTCAGTATTCTACAAGACTTATAACCGTGTAATTGCGAACATTCTTTTTGACATTACCTGAACTTCTTAACGCGTTCAGTTTAGCGTACAAGAGTCGCAAAGTGACGAAAGGGAAGCTATGCAGCGTGCCGAGTCTAAACTGATCAATAAACAAAATCTTTTATTACAAAAAGCGACCTCAAAATTGGCTCAATACAAAAAGTAAACTAAATATACGCATTTATTTAGGATAACCTATTAACCCTTATTCAAACAATGGTAGAATACATGCCACCTACATAAGTCAAATTGTTTAACTATTTACAGTAGTAAAATCTGAACGCATCCATTATAACTTTCTTTTTTTACTAGAAAAAACGTTCTATTTTGTCATGTTGGCAGTACTACCTAAAAAAATAAAAGAATAGAGCGCTAATGAACGTCAAATTCAAATTGGCGGTAAAAAGTTTCATAAACGGTACTCTGACCGCGTTTTTTTTTTAATTATTTGATTTGTGACTTGAAAAATTTCGGTAAGTAAATAATTATGATTTATTTGTGGATTTAATGATATTTTTAAGTGTTGAAGGTACAGAAACGGTAGTTTACAATATAATTTATGTCTAAAAAATGTGTTGAAAGTACGTGGCTAATATATGACCATTGTCCGTTCTTTTCGTATTTGTTTATCTTTCATCTTGTGTCATTTACTATAGTTTTTGATAGTTATTTACTTAATTGAGCAATTTCAATTTTTTACAGGGAAAGATGTCATCGAATAGACCACTGTCTAACAATGCACTAATAAAAGTTCTAGAAAATTGGTCGGATATCGATTCGACTTTTTAGATTGCGACTTGCAAGAGCACTTATTAGTGACTTCACATGCAAAAAACAGAGGCCAATTATTTTTAAAAATAAGAAAGGTGGAAATTTTGGTGTGAAGACTCTGAAGACGAAATTCGTCTTCAGAGTGTTGGCGTGCACTTCCCGGAAGCACAGGAGACATAAGCGTTGCAAGTTTTGCTCGACCAAGAAAGAAACGAAGAGGTCGAATATAAAATGTTCATATTGTGGTGTATCTCTCTGCGTCAAAGGATGTTTTAAAAAGTTTCATTTAGCTGAAAAATACATGTAACAATCTTAATTATTTTATTATTACGTATTACATTTATTTCCATTAAAATGGCTGGAAGTTTTATTTTCTTATTCAGACAACGGCCACATAGTTGCCACTTTTCATCACAGTTATCAGACAATGGTCGCATATTGTCCACCTTAAAAAAACCAACCCTACTATTTTTTTTTTAATTTCTTATAAATTAGGTTTCTTCTTTATATTATATTTAACCAGAATAAACTGAAAATCCTATCATTACTAGCCGATTAGCTCGCATCCGATTAAGGGTTAATATACATACATAACAGACATTAATAAATAAACTTTATTTATTCAGCGTTAGCTATACAGCCATCAGCTTAAAATGGTAAGAAATAATTAAGAAACTCAAAACGTGATACATCTAAACCAAAAATTAATGCTTGTAAAAAATGTAACTATAAAAACTCGCCTTTTTCCTTAAATCCATAGACATTAATAATTTCTAAAGAACAGTCGAATTATTGTACTAGTAAAGATTTCTTTCATTCCTTGGCTAACCGATAGTGTACCCATAGTCAGCGTATCAGCTACGAATAAGGTATTTTTCTACTTCTGTAATAATAACCTTAAATGTAAATAATCCTTAGCTTAGGGGCGCTCCTTGTTGTGTTCTGAATTTAGAGAATGAAAAAAAAGTTCTGAATCTAAATTTTATTGTCACATATAAATCAGACGTTATATGTATATGATGCATTTCAGCATTGAAAACATAAACATATCATTGTCTTTGTCTAACTACTGCGTGTCGTCGTAAGCCAAAATAGATAGCATTACATTGGTCTGTGCCAAACACGAGAATCGAAAATATGTAAAGTCATCTTAAATGCCAACTGT